TCCCTCGGGCGCCAAATATATGAGGTCACGCGTGAACAGCCCGGATCGACGGCCGGCTGGACCAAGTCGAACTCCGGAGAAGCCCGATCGGCAGGAAGAGCGCCAGATCCAAGCAGGACGAACCACTCCGACGACCAATTCAACCGGATCTAGCAACAGACTGGACGAATACTTCCAGATGGCGATGAATCGATTCCTTAAGGAACAAAGCCTGGTGACGGTCCAACCACCACCCCTCGGAGCGCAGGATATCGATATGGAGTCCATTGGCGCCCCGCATCTCCACTCCTGGGAGTACGATCCCGACGATCTCGGAATTCCGAGATCCTCCGGCCATCCTTTCAGCCGAGCCGCGGTCACCTCGGCTGCGATCGGCCCTGGAGGATCATCGCTGATTCAGAGATCCTCAATTTCGGCCATCTCAGATCTGAAGGAGTTTACCGGGAAGGATATGGACGAAGATCGCGCTAGGGCGTGGTTCGGCAAGGTGAAATCGGCGTTCCAGCGAGATCAAGCAACAGAAGAGGAGAAATGCCTCACGTTCGTGGATCTGATGGTGGGACCAGCCAAAAACTGGCACCGACAGTTAAGTCGGACTACCAAGACTAAATGGGTAGATTTACACGAAAGTTTGCAGACCTAATACTGTGGTCTGGGTATGTCAGTGGCATGACGGTATTACCATGCCCGGAAAAGATCCGAGGAGACCCCGCTTGATTATCTCTATCGACTGAACGTGGCCGCTCTACGAGCATAACTCAAGATCACAGACGGGAATCCAAAGGAGCGCTTGGAACACGTCGATCATTATATTGAGACGTTGGGCGATCCCGAGTTGGCAGACCACTTAACATTATTACGGTTGGCTGACGTCGACGAACTCGAGGAAGTTCTCCGTGCGCGAGAACAAACCAAGAGCAGGCAACGCAGATCCGCGTTCGGGTCGAAATGTCGACAGCAGACCCCGGCCAGCGCTCCGGCTACACCAGCCCGTACCATGGTACGCGCGATCCAGGCGCAGGATCCGAGCTCCAAATCAGAAGGGGTCTCGGGATCTGACGGATCCGACTCGGAAGCCGAACTGCGAAGGATCTTCCTGGTCGCGGCAGAAGAGAAGTTGATCAGCACTGGGGGTGCCTCGCAAAACCCAGATCCAGCACGATCCCGAACGAAAGCGTCTGAGGGAGGCCGGTTCCCGACCGTCGCAACCCGGGAGAGAGCGATCACCAAGATCGAGACCGCTGCTCTCATTGTGGGTCCAGGAAACACACAGATCGGGACTGTTGGAAGCGCCTGATATGTGAAAAGTGTGTGAAGATAGGTCACCCAACGGATCGCTGTCTGTATGCGTGTCGTGGATGGGGGGCGTCCACGAGGCAGGAGAATACCCCATGGAAGAATTCTACAACCAGATACGCAAATGGTATGATCCAACTCGACACGCCGGACGGTTTCCCCAACAAGTTGAAAAGATGTTAAACTAGGACGTTCGCCGGGGTGGAATCCGGTACAAGCCGAGCGTTCTAGATATTGCATCTACGCCTACGTGAACAAGGCGACGACAGATCGAGGTAGAAAGGAGTCGGATCTACGCGATAATACATGTAATTTCCGTTCGTAGACCGCCAAAATCGCGAGCCTCCCTCAGATCAGCGATTTCAGCAGATCGAATGCAGAAGTGGCCTTAGATCTCAAAAGAGGAGAGTCCCGAGGATATTGGAAACGTCATGCACCGGGAAAATGGTTCCGACAACCCAAGATCTCGGGCAGGATCAATCAAGAGAGGGTGATCCTGCTCCTAGATACTGACGCTGAGGTATCAATCTTGGATACCACCTTTGCTCGTAAGGTGGGATGCCACTTTGACACTAGTTAGAGACAGAATGCGTTGGAATAGTTAACAACGTATATATCACAGAAGGGAGAACCAGGATCAAGATCACGCTAGCGGGATATCTGGTGTATTTTTTCGATATCTGGATCGGAGACCTATCAGGCCAGAACGCGATCCTGACATGGATTTCATGGTCCCGACCGGTGTGCGAATGGACCTCGCTGACGGATCGATGCGTTTTCCTGACGAGGGCTGAATACTGCTAATGGTCATAAGAGATTGTATGGCGAGAAGGTGAGATCAGTGATATTCGAACAAAATCTGCGGATCTCGGTGGGTCGGTCGGAAGAAATGGCGGCGAGGATAACATTGTTAGTCACAAAGAAACTGTGGGTGGCCAGAGGAGAATGATGGGTACCGACAGTAACGGAAGGCCCCGGTCGGTTCCGCTATCTGGTGATCTCGAACATTGGAGACGAGATCCTACGGCTGGACCACCGTCTGGAAGTGGGTATCAGGACAAAGTACCCCGATTCTCAGGGTTCGTGTCCGTCGTGTCTCGTCGTTACCGGAAATGACAGAATCTGGCATTGGAATCGACGGTGAATACTCGATCAGAGCCTCCTGAACTTATGGAGAAACCTGAACAGCCGGCAGTGCAACGACCAACGTATCCGACACCCAGATCGATACTTCGCCGTCCAGAAACCGCTGATATCGACAGGAATCGCACGTTGATATTGACCCTAGAGTCTCGATCGAGGACGGGAATTGCCAATGCGTCGCAGATCGAGGCTGAATTTCCCGATCCGGAAGGGGGCCATCCATCTACGCCACAAAAAAATCCCAACGCCGATCGATACGGAGCAACGATGCTGGGGGCGGCAGGATAAGTGAGAGTATGCCGGACCAGGCTACCGATCGGACGGACACCAAGCATATCAAGACGGAAAATCGGACTGGCACCAAGGATACCGAGCCAAACTGTAAAATCCAGATCGAACCCGGCAAAAGAGTCGACGTAAAATCCTCGATCCACCCGACTGAGGGCGTCGAACTACGAGATCCGCTGGCGGAAGGAGCAGCAACGACCACAAAGATGAGCTATATCACCTTGAGAGTGGTGATCTCTCAGCTGAAGACCTCGATGGATACCTTGCTGTCCTCCCCAAAATCCCGATCTCGACGATCGCGAAGGTCAGCATCGAGAATCTTCAGGTGGGAGACTCCAGATCGGCTACACCCGAGGAGATCGAGAAGCTCCGGCAGATTATTTGGAAGAAGCGACACCTCCTGATCGACAAAGCGAACGCCCAACCTCCGGCGGCCAAGGGCGTTATGTGTGGCATCAATGCCGATCCACTGCGAATCCGGAAAGTACCCACGCGATTTCGAGAAAAAGTCGCAGGCCTGATCAAGGGCCTCCTGGCAGCCGAGATCATCCGACCCTCGACATCGCCATGGGCCTCACCGATCGTGATTGTCCGCAAGCGTAACGGCGTAGATATCAGGTTGTGCATCGACTACAAGCTCGTAAACAGCCTCCGAGGTTGATGATCTACCCTATGGCCCTGATCAGTGATCTGCTAGAGGACCTTGATAGGACAGTATGGCTTTACTCTCTGGATATGGTCAGTCGCTTCTGGGTCGTACTCATGACGGATCGAGCTCGCGAGATCTCAACCTTTACCACCCCATTTGGATTATTCGAATGGAGTCGCATGCCTTTTGGCCTGAATAATGCCCCGCAGATTTATCAACGCCTCGTAGACAACGCGCTGCATGGAGTTCTGGAAATCTCGCAATCAGGCGACGCCGGGCTACAACGGACGTGTTCCAGACAGGGATCGCGGACGATCCTGATCGTGGGTCAGTGTTGGGACGGAGATCATATATTGGCGACATCATGATCGGAGCAGAATCGTGGGATCATATGTTCAAAGAGTGGAAGATCTGTTGGAGGCCTGTGATAAGTGGAATTTATAGATCAGTGTAGCGAAGAGCTTCTGGGGCATGGATAAGATAGGATATCTGGGGGAGTGTCCATCGGAGGTCTGGAGGGGAACCCAAAAGATCTGAAATCACTGATCGATCTGCCATTCCCCGGGCCACTTCGATCCATGTAGTCGTTCCTGGGTAGTTTGAATTACTACAGCCGATTCATTGAAGACTACGCTATCTACGCCTTCTTTGACGCAAGTACACGACGGGATCTACCACCCGGTTGCGTTCGCCAACCGCACCTTGAAGACGAACGAGTTGAATTACAATGTGACCGAAAAGGAGGTGTTGGTATTGCTGAGGATCTTGGATCTCTACTACAATTTACTAGTAGGACGCGAGACCCGGGTCCTAACGAGGCATTCCACGTTAGCCTGGCTTTTCAAGTCGACAGGATTACAGGGTCGCCTAGGGCAATAGTCGGCCCTCCTCGCCCCGTGGCCTCTCGAGATCACGAAGTGCACGAAGGGATAGGACGAGGTACTGGGGGCGATCGCTGCCACCCTCACGCCGACGGCAAAGATGGACGACGCTCTGACCGAAATCGCTCCCCGGAAGGAACCTAAACGCCGGATCCAAGCGACGATACTCACCGTGGATCGAGAAGAGGAATTATGGGTGGTCAGCTTTGATGGATCAGCTCGCGTGAAGGGTGGCGGTGGTGCGTTCAGCGCGATCGTATGGAGTCTGCACGGATGGGAGGTGGTCAAAGCTACATCGGGTTATCTCGAGAGCCTCGCCGTGAACGAAGCAGAATACAATGGCCTGATCCTGGGACTCGACATGCTAGAAGGCCTAGATCGCAAGCGCCTAGTGACCGCACTATGCGGTGATTCCAACTTAGTGATCCGACAAGTACGGGGCGAGATCGATTGCAAAGCACCCGGACTGACGCTATAGAAGCGGAAGGTCCTTGATCGAAAGGAAATGGAGTGATCATGAGCTAATGCATGTTAAGAGAGATTGGAATGGGAGTGCCGACAGTCTGGCGAGTGCCGCTTTGCAACGACAAGGCGGGATCGAGGTCCAGGGAGGGCCCGAATACCAAGTTTTGGTTACCTTGAACCGGTTGAACGAAATCCTGATTTCCAAGACCGAGAACCCAGTGGTGCGAGTTGCAGCGGCCACGACATGAGCTTCTCGAGTAAGATCACCCGCGGGAGTCATGCAAGAGGGCCTGATCCGGGAGATGCGGATCGATCGGATCAAGCAGGCCCGGGATGAGGAAGTCTCGATCGCAGGCATGAAGAAGTATCTGAGTGGCTCGATCGCAGACCTCACGCAAGCCGAAGCAAGATCGTACGGCAAGGTCGCTGCCGACTATGAGGCGGATGACCAAGATCTACTCTTCTATTGCACCCCCCACGCTGAGATCGGGGGATGATCGCAGTTGCTGAGATTGGTGCTTCCCGAAACACTACAATCGGACGTCTTGCATCACTATCACACTACGCTGGAAGGAAGACATCAGGGAGTGAGGCGTACCTATCAGCGGATCAGGGATCACTTCCACAGGAGAAGATTATATCGTAGCGTACAGCGATATGTGGGGGAATGCGTGGATTGTGAAACGGGAAAAGGAAAAACCGTGATCCGGGGTGAATCACCAGGGAACTTGCTGGCGACGTATCCGTTCCAGATCATTGCGACGGATCACATACCTTCGCTGCCCAGATCTCACAAGGGGAGCACGGAGTTATTGATCTGGGTCTATCCGTTCATAGGGTACGTGATCGCGAAAGCTAGCTCATCCTGGTAGGCTAGACGATCGCGTAATCGTACGAAGAGTGTGTATTTTGGCGATTCGGTGCCAGCGAGATGATCTGGCATGATCGAGAACCAGGTTTTATGTCAGACTTTATCCGGGCGTTTAACAAGATCCTAGGATAACGGCAGCGAGCGACGATGGTATATCGGCCGCAAGTCAACGGGACCGCTGAAAGAATGGTGCAGACTGCGACCAGGGCGCTCAAGATGTACGTTCGCGATCTGGATAAGAAGGATTAGGATGAGTATGTGGAGCGACTTACCTTTGCGATCAACACGGCCCACGATCGGATCCGAGGTGACATCCCTAATTTCTGGTGCATGGGTGGGATCCGAGATCGACGTTGGAGGCTACACTTCCAGTCGGACGCATCAGACAGCGCGATCGAGAGGCGCGGCGGTGACGTTATCGGGTCCAGCGATATTATCAGCAGTCCCGGGAGCAAGTCAACGTCAGATTGAGGGAAGTCATTGCGGATCAGGCCAGCCGACACAACAAGGACGTCGGATCGCACCGGATCGAGGCTGGATCTCGCGTCTGGTTACACCTAGACCGGATGAAGGAAGTATACGCGCGGAAATTGGGTGAAGGAAGGATACGCGAGGAAATTGGCTCACCTGTGGCATGGGCCATTCCGGGTTGCTGAAAAGATCAACGAATTCAGCATCAAGCTCAAGATCGCGGGTACTGAGTACCAGATCTTCCCAGTGGTTCACGTGTCGAAGCTGAAATTGGTCAAGGACTTTCCGGACCGGCCACGAATGGAACTCACGGTGGACGAATACGATCGTCTCGACTTCGATGATATCCCGCTTCCGGAGGATTGCTGGGTTCGAGATCTCGGAGCTGTCGAGTACGAAATCGAACGGATCTCGGATGTGCGGAGTGGGAAGAAAATGCGATTCGGTCGGATCTACCGAGAATTCCTGATGCATTGGGTAGGATATGACAAGCCGACCTGGGTCGACGAAGCCGATCTCAACTGCGGAGCAATACTGAATGCCTTCCTGCGTGAACGAGCTAATCGTAATCGCTGCAAGTTGATGCAATCACATGCGGAGATGTCAGGAGAACGAGGTGAGATTGTCTAATCGTCTCGACACCGAGGAAGTGCAAGTCGAATGAGACTGAGATCAGAAGTTCATGTTGTATATGTACATATAGGAAATGTCGACCTTCGCAAGGGATCGCGGAAGGCGTAGTGAGTCTAAAGGGATATCACTTAGGAGGAGCGAAGAAAAGAACAAACAAGCAGAAGATGTGGCTGGGATTAGAGAAATATGGGGCCGACAAGAAGGAATCGTGATCATGTAGAGATCGCGGAAGTTTTCCCCGAAGTGAAGTTAGATCCACGATCAAGGAGCCGCAGGAGGGTCGAATTTGTTCGCGAGACGAGGGATCTGCAGCGACGAATGAGCGGAATCTGGGTCGCGGTAATGGTTCCGCCAGGGATCTGCCTGATCACACTCGAACAGGGCTGTGATCAGGTCGGTCGGCTCGGGTATATTAGCGGTCAGCCGCGCGAGATTAGCTGCCCTGGAGACCGATCCGGTATACCAGCGTACTCGATCTTGGGTCGTCGGCAGGTGGAGGAAATAAGGATCCAGCAAGAGGTTGATGTCGGCCCACTGGCTCCTCAGCATCGGGAGACACGCTCCCAACACTTTCCGCCAGCCATATCCAACGCTGACGTCGACCCTGGTGGTAGACGAAGAGATCGGATTCCGCGGCGAGCATCGCTTTCATGATTTCATGGTAATGGGTCGATTCCCTATACGCTATCAGCTGATATTCCTCCAGGGCCGCATACGACACGGCGATCCACCACAGTGGGGTGCTAGCCCGCCGGTGCAAGTTGTGGTCGAAAGTCAGCAGAGTGAGGCGGTTCTGTCGAAGTATGAGCCATGGCATCGTAGCCATCAAGGCCAACACGTTGGCACCAGTGATCAGCTCGGAACGATAACCAGTCCTGGGTATGGGCGCCCGAACAAAGGGCGTCCAAGCAGGAAGCCGGGCGGGATCGGCAACCTCTTGGTCAAAGTGGACTGATTCATGGCGATGATCGGTATGGACCCCACGATAGATGGATCCAATGGGGTGATCATCTTGACCGTGGAATGTTGGAGAACACTCGTTTCGGCAGGATACAATGGCGAATTCAGTTGGAGAGGTGAGCCACCACCAGGGGAACCATCACCTGGACTTCCTCCGGGAGATCAGTGAGGTGAGGGAAGGGGAGTCGAAGATCCATTATCTGAAGAAGGAGGATTGTCGTCGTCAGGATCGCCTCCACCTCCGCCTGGGTTCTCGCGCTAACCTTCGAGCTCCTCGCCCTCGGGGCCTTCGATCTCGGGGTTATCCTGGTCGGGCGGTGGAGAAATAGGTCGATAACCGCGAGGCGTCTTGAGAGGCGGTAAGTGGTGGAGAACTGGGCGGACTTCGATCCCGTCTCGGCATCCGGGCCGCTTGGCTCTCTCGGATCTGGCTAGCGAGATGCGTGAGGAGCAGATCGGCCTCAGTCAGATCACTTTCGGCCAGATCTCGCAATTCTCCGAGTTCGTCGAGGGAAATCTTGGAGATCCGCCATCTGCCCTCCCATTCTTGAATCTCCAGGCGAACCAACTCAAGATCATCGACCAGCCTGGCGGCACAGGCAGCCTCGGTGAGGAGGTCCAAGCGGACATAATCGCGTTCGGCAATCGCCTAATCACGGTGTTGGAGGGCCGTGTTGCGATCGGCAAGAGCCCGATCCCGATCCTCAGTGACCTGGGTGATTTGCGTGAAGGCCCGATCTCGATCTGAGGTGACCTGCGTCAGGGTTGCGCTTCCGAGTGCGAGATCTGTCAACGCGCGATCACGGTTTGCCTGGGTCAGACGGATAGAACCTCCAAGGGTGATCCCCCTCCGTGATCTGGTTGTAGATGGGTGAGGTTGGAAGAGATCCGGTTGTAGCTAGCGAGAGCGGTGGCGGATTTGGATCTCGCGTCGTCGGTCTCGCGCTCCAAACAACGGACCTGCTCCTGCAAGTTCCGGATCTCGTCGCTGACCTGGATAGCTTCCTGGCGCAGACGATCACGATCTGCTCGGGATGATGAAGTTCTTCACGGGCGGAAATCGCATGACGCTTGAAGCCGTTACGCTCGGTTCGAAGTTGGAGAACTGGGGTGCAGAGGCCTTCAGGATCGTCACCGGCGTCGTGGACGAGGTTCGCGATTTAGGCCTCTACGCGGGTGATCTCGTCTCGCTGGCCGTGCAGGAACAATTCCATGTCCCGGATGTCGGTTCACAGCTGGCGGACTTGCAGATCGAGATGATCTCGATCCCGTACGAGGCGATCCCGCCCGAGGTTGCTCTGGCGGAGCTCACCCTCCAAGGTGGCTACCCGCCGACCCTGATTGGAGGTGTGGGAGCACGAGCAACGCGAGATATTAGACTGTCGAGACCGGTTGCTCACTGTTGACTTCGGAGGATCGGGAGGAGTCGGAATTGGGGGACTCCCGGAGTCGCTGCTCACCTGACTCATGGAGGTGGCTGGATGAAGTCTGGAAAGGAGTGCGTCTGAGACGGCAAATTGTGGAATGAGACATGAAGTGAACCAGGAAGGTCCAAGTTGTAGGCTGAAGGCGGATGTGGCGAAGTGCGGTCAAGATCTTACGAGAAAAGCAACCTCGGCTGCCAGATTGCGAGATAGAGACGGACCAGGCGACAGAAATCCCACTCCAAGTTAAGACATCAAGTCACTTCTCCAAGATCCAGCGTGCGACAACACCGGTAAGTGATGTTGACTTCGGATGATCCAAGATTGATCCCTGGAATGATGGATGGCGGCAATACCCATACCGCGCCGCGAGAATGCAAGATTAAGGGGAATAGGTGGACATGGGTCGCTGTCGGCCCGCGATCCGGGACCGTGGCGGATCAGCAGACATTAATTGAAGAAAGATGGCGACATGAGGAGCCGCGCTTACCAAGATACACAAGGTAAAGGCGATCCCAGGTCAAGGCAAGATGGTGATCCAGGGTCGGCGGAAGGAGGCGAGACGGGATCGTCGGGTGGCAGCAGTCATGCGCCCCGAGGTGAGCGGCAACGACGAAGATCACCGCGCGACGATCAGGAGATGGTTTAAGATCACCGATCAGAATCGCGGATCGGGATCGACGATCGCGATCGCCGATCGTAGGAAAGCAGCTGAGGATGGGTTAGTGGATATAGGGATAAACGTAAACAGACTCGAATTTGCTCTAAGCTGCACAAGTGTCCTCTTACGCCTGGAATCGGGGATTAGTTTGGCCCCTCAAGCGCGCAGACGGTAAGGACGTAGGATCTAGCGTAGTGGATAAGCCTGGATAATATATTTGGCCAACTTTGCCTACCTAGTGACTTGTCCTCAAGTGTTTACTGTTGCTCGGAAGGCTTTGATTGCTTGACCTGAAGATCACATCGGATCTCGACCCAACAAGTTCCCCGCTATTGGAAGCGGCAAGCATACATAAGGAAGGAGCAAGATCTCCGTGTTTGGACTCCCCCAAAGACATGGAACGACAACCAGGCAGCTCGATCACGGCTCTAGGACCCGCCTGCGATCGAGATCGACCTACGCGAGGTAGAGCTAAGAAGTTCCGCGCTATCTCAAGTCCCTACGTTTTCACCGTACCGGATATACATCGAACGAGTCACCCAGGAGAGCGTAACCCGCCCGCCGTCGGGTACACAAGGTGAGCAAGAACACAACCAGATCACGGATCATCGGAGGAACCCATTCGTTAGTCGGTGTTCGGGCGCCAGTGGTATCGAGACCTGCGTCAATGCGATTTTCGCAGATCCAGCTTCGCCACAGCAGCTGATCCCATAGAAGCAGTAATCCGACATGCGTATCCTGCGTTGTAGAGATAAGACAGGCTATGATATAAGGCTTAGGTATGACAGAAAATCGAATTTGCATCATTGGGCACAAGTGGTTGGTTTCGTTATTTGATTCACACTTAGTGCATTACGGACCCCTCCGATCAAGACATATACTGGTTATATAAGGTGATCTCGTATCAGGGATACTGTATTTAGCGTAGTTTGGATAACTGGATAATATATTGACCAGAACCAACTACCTAATATTTATTCTATACGTGCAAGCTCCGAATCCACGGCATTCAGTGCTTGGCCGTGAAGATCCATCGATCTCTCAACGCCCCTCCAGATCTGGTCATAGGAGACCGCAAGCAACTCAAAAGGATCGCAAGA